AGGACTGACAACTGTATTCTGCTGCTGTGTGAACGTGGCTGTACATGCAGCAGTGATGATTTGGGTCTGTCATAATCTTCTATAACAGCATGGTAAATAAAAAAAGTAAGAATATATATGTATATATTTACCATGCTGTTAATGTTGTACTTAAGGTATAGGAAACGAACAGCGACACAATAAGGTTCTGAAAGTGCTGTAATTGTTTGTGTGATCACTTTGCTTATAGAAGATTATGACAGACCCAAATCATCACTGCTGCATGTACAGCCACGTTCACACAGCAGCAGAATATGCAGAATACAGTTGTCAGTCCTGTATTTGGGTCCTTAACATGGTTAGGTTCACACAATACAGTTATTTACGGCGGTGACAACCGCATTCTATAACCGAACTCACATTTTCAGGACTCACAACCGCATTCTCGGAAAACACGCGCTGTATATATGAACTGGACAACATGTAGTACAGTGTGAGAGAGCTGCTCATGTGTGGTTTCACTTTGGGTACAGCAACGGAGAAATGAGCTGTCTGTCATCTGAAGGTTTTAGATCCCGTCACTGTTCTCCACTGGAGCAGTTTCCGTCAGTTTTGTGTTGCGTGACACAAATGCAGTGTCATGCGTGAGACGCAGAAAAAGATGCGGCGTCAGTTTTTGCTGCGTTTATTTGGTACGTGTAAAGACGCACAGTTTGACCGCATTAAGACTACAAATTTGAAGGTGTTTCTCAATGCACACATTTTGGATTTAAAGGGGATTAAGTAAATGCTAATGATCCATATTATATAATTATTAATTATAACTTCTGTATATTGTTTGTTTTAAGTTATATAGGCCTATTATTTTCGAAAGTATATATAACTTTACACAGAACATATTATAACTGAATATACATACTTACAGACACATAACTTTATTCACTTTTTTTTTTTATTCATTTATTTTTAATAATGTTTTAACACACTCAAATTAACACTCATGCTGCATACTCGATCTAGCTTGAGAATGTCATCCAGCCACATGAATTGAGAGTAAATTAAACAAATACAATATAAATACAAATAAATGAACAATTTATATATTTAAAATGCATATAGAGACATATGAGTTCTGTTATGGCCCTGTATAGTTTGTTCTGTTCTGTCCCTGTGTTGTTTTGGGAGAGTCTGTGTGTAACATTATCTGATTGCCTGCTGTTGTCTGATTGGTGCTACAACAAAATTACTGCATTATGTTCAAAATGTTTAACCTCCTAAGACCTGAGTCCACATATGTGGACATGTACGTCCACATATGTGGACATTAGGGTTACGTACATGTCCACATATGTGGACTCAGGTCTTAGGAGGTTAATATTTATTAAATTTGTATTATTATTAATTTCTTTACCCTTAAACTTGTCTTTAGGAAGCCATAGTTATAGTGGCAAGAATAAGTTTGTGAAACCTTTGAAAAAATCAGTTTCAGCATTGATAACTCATAAATTGTAATTATTATTATTATTAATATTATTATTACTATTATTTCTTATAAACGCAGCATATTTTCGACATACCTTATTATCACAACATTCAAATCTTCATCAGTGTCATGAGCCATGATAAGCTGTTGGTATTTCTACCCAAGAAAGATCGCCGCCAGGGTTAAGGGGAGAAGAAAACACAGGTTTAACCCTAGAGAAATGAAACACAGGGTGAACCCGACCAAGAGCGGGAGGGAGCTTGAGCCTGATCGCCACCGGATTAATCACCTTGGTGACGCGGTACGGCCCAATGAACCTGGGCGCCAGCTTAGGGTTCCTGTGATGGAAACAGAGGTGGTTTATAACCCACAGAGCACTCAAAAGGAGACAAACCTGAAGCCACCACTGGAAGGGAGTTACGAGCGTATTCTATGAAACCACGTCAACCGGCAATCCATGGAGACGGAAGACGTGATCCACGACCAGTTGGGCGGTCTCCCGGGCGGAGGGCAATTTGGGCAGGGGAATGAAATGAACCGCCTTAGAAAAGCGATCCACCACAGTGAGAATCACAGTGTTACCCTTTGATGGGGGAAGCCCAGAGACAAAATCAAGGGCGATGTGTGACCGTGGACGGGAAGGGACGGGAAGGGGATGAAGCAGACCATCAGGCGGGCAATTCAGTGTGGCCAGTGTGGGCCACCAGAAGCGTTGACGGATGGCAAACAACGTTCTCTGAATCTCTGGATGGCAGACCAGCCTGGACACATGACCCCACTGAAGGACTTCTGGGGGCGCAGCACAGCCGGCACCAGCAACCTGCCCGCCGGGCACCTCTCTGGCACTTGCACCCCTCGACCGGCCTCCTCCACTCGCCGCTCGATACCCCAAGAAAGAGCCCCGACCACCACCCCTTCAGGAAGGATGGCTTCGGCCGTAAGCTCCCCCTCTGGGGCCCCAAACAGGCGCGAGAGAGCGTCGGGCTTGACATTTTTGGACCCCGGCCGGTACGAGAGGGTGAAGTTGAATCGGCCAAAGAAGAGCGCCCAGCGGGCCTGACGCGAGCTCAGCCTCTTGGTCGAACGGATATATTCGAGATTCTTGTGATCCGTCCAGACCAAGAAGGGCTGCGCTGACCCCTCCAACCAGTGACGCCACTCGCCCAAGGCCAATCTCACCGCCAACAGTTCTCTATTGCCAATGTCATAGTTACGTTCTGCAGGGCTGAGACGGCGAGAGAAGAACGCACACGGGTGCACCTTCCCGTCGCGGAGGGATCGCTGAGACAGAACTGCACCAACCCCGACGTCCGATGCGTCAACCTCGACAATGAACTGGGACTCAGGATCTGGAACCAACAGAACAGGTGCAGAGACAAAACGGGACTTTAATGTGTCAAAGGCTACCTGAGCATCCTGGTTCCACCTGAAGGACACCTTGGTGGAGGTTAATGCCGTGAGCGGAGCAGCGAGCTGACCAAAACTCCTGATGTATCGCCGATAGAAGTTGGCAAAACCCAGGAAACGCTGCAGGGCCTTACGGGAGTCGGGGACTGGCCACTTGGCGACAGCTTCTATCTTAGCAGGGTCTGGTTTAATCCCCCTGGTAGAGATGATATGGCCAAGGAACGTAACAGACTCGGCGTGGAATTCGCACTTCTCCGCCTTGACGAACAACTGGTTCTCTAAAAGGCGCTGGAGGACCCGTCTAACGTGTCCCTGGCACTTGCACCCCTCGACCGGCCTCCTCTACTCGCCGCTCGATACCCCAAGAAAGAGCCCCGACCACCACCCCTTCAGGAAGGATGGCTTCGGCCGTAAGCTCCCCCTCCGGAGCCCCGAACAGGCGCGAGAGAGCGTCCGGCTTGATGTTCTTGGACCCTGGCCGGTACGAGAGGGTGAAGTTGAACCGGCCAAAGAAAAGTGCCCAGCGGGCCTGACGCGAGCTCAGCCTCTTGGTCGAACGGATATATTCGAGATTCTTGTGATCCGTCCAGACCAAGAAGGGCTGCGCCGACCCCTCCAACCAGTGACGCCACTCGCCCAAGGCCAATCTCACCGCCAACAGTTCTCTATTGCCAATGTCGTAGTTCCATTCTGTAGGGCTGAAACAGCGAGAGAAAAATGCACACGGGTGCACCTTCCCGTCGCGGAGGGAACGCTGAGATAGAACTGCGCCAACCCCGACATCCGATGCGTCAACCTCGACAATGAACTGGGACTCAGTATCTGGAACCAACAGAACAGGTGCAGAGACAAAACGGGACTTCAATGTGTCAAAGGCTACCTGAGCATCCTGGTTCCACCTGAAGGACACCTTGGTGGAGGTTAAAGCCGTGAGCGGTGCAGCGATCTGACCAAAATTCCTGATGTATCGCCGATAGAAGTTGGCAAATCCCAGAAAACGCTGCAGAGCTTTACGGGAGTCGGGGACTGGCCACTTGGCAACAGCCTCTATCTTAGCAGAGTCAGGTTTAATCCCCCTGGTAGAGATGATATGGCCAAGGAACGTAACCGACCTGGCGTGGAATTTGCACTTCTCCGCCTTGACGAACAACTGGTTCTCTAA